AGCAGCATTTACCTGACGTGTTGCCTGCAGCGAGAGCAGCAGTCCGTGCATACAGTATTTCTCAAGTGCATCATTCTTTATCTTTTCTTTTCTTTTTTTTTTTAATAAACGATAGATTTCTCCATGACTCGTCGCCGTCGTCGTTGCTGTCGTTGTTCGTGCGAGAGAAGTTTCTAACCAAGAAATTTTGACAAGAGGTCGTCCATCGCGGACTAGTTTGATCGACAAATGACAGTTGCGACCGAGACGACGCTTTAATTGTCGTTCAAGCCGATCGCATTGGCATTCACTTGGATCGTGGAGGCCCGCATTTGCTTAGCATCACAGCGAGCGCGGGGCAAGCATTGCTGCTCTGAATGCAAAATTTCGCATTTTCGTTGTCGTTACAAAATAGACGTACCAGGAGCCGTTACGCAAAGGAACAACTTTCCAACTCAAAAACCACGCGGAGCTCTTTGCGCAGTTCACCTCGAAAAACGTAAATAATAAAGCAACTCGATCTTCTCACAATTATCAGCGGCAACGAAAAAAAATCAACATACATTGAGAGAAGGCTTCCGAAGGACGTGTCGCTCTCTCGCCATCACAACCTCGTCAAGTGTACGTTAACCTCCTGGGGTTTTTTCTTTTTTTATATAAATTATATAAAGTCATCATTGCAAAACTCGCGTGCGCGCGCTAATAACCGGAAAATTTGTACAATCATCGTACAAGTCAGTCAAATTTCCGCGTTCGCGGCGCGCGCCATCCGTCGCAGGAAAGTCCTCGGTTTAATTGATCCAGGCGGACGCTCCGCGAGGATGTCGATCCGCGCGCACTCGCACTCTCACTTTCACGACGACGCCGGGCGCAATTATATGAAAAGGAGAGCCCGGAAAAGCCAGCGAAAGAGCCGATTGATCGCCACGCGAGAGCCTGCAATTACTTCGAGCGCCTAGGAGCGTCGCTTCGATAATCTCTCCAAGCTGCGCGCGGCACGCGGCACACGATGCTACGTCGATGGCTGCGAGCGGCTTTTACGCGCGCTCGCTTCTTTCTCATTTTAATATGCCTCCACTCCGCGGCAATGTTGTCTGGGAGAGGCTGTACGCGAGCGTTTACCGTGCCAGCAGCACTTTCTTCCCCCCGCTTGCCGCACCCGGCAAAGCGTCATAACGGCAAAGCGTCGTTTCGGTCGTTGCTCGTATTTAACGACGCGCTGCGACACTTCACTGTGAGTTCGCGCGATAACGTGGATGATCATTTTGCCGAGTCCTCGCGAGTTGCTCACACCGGACTTTTGATGCACGTTGGCGCTTAGTTAAACAATTCGCACCGTTTTGCGAATCGTCAGAAACACGTGGACATCACTTCGAGAAGCACTCAATTCTATCGTGTGAGAAATTCTACAGGACTGTCGGTGAAAATTTGCATTTAACAAAAACAAAACAAAAACGAACGTTTGCCAAAACGAGGAGAGAAAATTGGGCAAATTGGCGTGCAGCCAAGGAAGAAAGTTCAGGCCGGCGGAATATCATAATCGCGATGTGTCGCGCCACAAAAGGATCAGACGTGACGAGCTTGGCGAGCCGAAAATGCGTGACAGCCGCGAGAGGAAACGGCGAGGCAGAGGCATTTGAAAACCGGCCTTACGTAAACTTTCGCCGGTGACCTTCGAGCACGGAAGATCCTGCGCAGGTCGGTAACATCCCCATGGCTTCGCGCATCGCTCGGTCGCGCTCGATAGTTTAAGAAACGTTGTATATTGAGGATCGAGCCGATGTAGGCTTTTCTTTTACGAGCGCGGCCGCTACGAAGCTAAAACTGCTGCCTAGCGTAGCGACTAAAAGTTGAATCGTTATAGTAATCGCAAACTAGGCGCAGACGTGCGTGTCTGACGAGCGTGATCGTGCTCGAGCGACGTCCGATTCAAATACGTCGCTCGTCCGCAGAAATTCTGCAGAGAGTCGACGGTCGTCATTACGCTTGCAATTCCTTTGCCGGCGAAATGATCGATCGCACTACGACAGATCCCGGCGTCCGGACGATTTTTCCCAATTGAGAAACGAAAAAATCATGCAACACGTATAAAGTCGCCAAGGTTAAGTCGACAGAGCTCGATTTTTTTAGTGTTGATTTTCTTGGTTTGCCTATTGTTTCCAGAGCGACGCTGGCGCTGTCGCTGTTTCTGAAAGCCGACACGGCAATTGTACCACCACCTTGGGCTGATCCCACGAGTAATCCTTGCGCTGCTCAACCACGCGGATGGCAATTGCTTTATTGGCCGGCCGATGGCAAGTGCTACAAAATTTTTCAGGTGAGTGTGACTCGACAAACATTGACGCAGTTTAACGGTATCACGGGGTATTACGGGCACTGTCACGTCGATAGTTAAAGCTTTGAACGGGGGAAAGCCAGATTAAAAAAATTGTAAACGAGAGAGAAAGAGTCCACAACGAATGTCTTTGCCGTTGTAAACGAGTTGATAACAACAAAGGGCATTCGGTCGGACACGGATCGTTAATATGCAATGATTGACTCGAAATTGGTCAGATCGGAGCACCGTGCCCTGAAACAATGGAGCTAAGTCCATCGGCAGTGGGCACGGAGACGAAAGCCGAGTGTCGCTGCCCACCAGGCACAGCGCAATCGCCTCGAGACGCGCTCTGTCACCCGATATTTACCAGAGCGTCGTGCCCGAAGGGCCAGTACTTCGCGCCAGTGCCGGAATCGGCCGGCAAGCCCAGGTACGCACGTGCAACGAACTGTCGCGGCTACGCCACGCCTCGACTGCACCCAGCACGTCATCCACGCCTTAAAATTTCTCCTTGTGCAGCAGCCCGAACAAGCGCTGGGGCGTGTGCCGCGAGCCCGAGCAGTGTCTCGCGAGCGACCAAGTGTTTTGGCCGAAGGACGCTCAATGTTACGCCAAGTACAGTCGAGGACCTTGCCAGAAGGGCGAACTTTTGATTTTGGACAAAGACGGATTGGCTACGTGCAGCTGCTCGAAAGACGGCGAGCTCGGCAAGTTTTATTCGCCGTTCGCCGGTGGCTGTTACGAGCATTACACGAGAGGGCCGTGCCAGCAGCCTGGCGAATTGTTTTTACCCGGAGCTAGGTGCGGCTGCTCTCCCGATCTACCTCAGTTCCACGTGCCTACGAAGATGTGCTACGCGCTGGGTAAGTGAACAACGCGGCCAACTCGAGAATACACTCACCGAACGACTCGCCAAATGTTTGTCGTTACTTAGGTGGAGTGGGCCCGTGCACCGTGGGTCAGCACTATGTGCTACCATCCGCGGCAAATGCCAGCCAAGCTATTTGTGCCTGCAAACCGAGCTACGTGCCTCACGCCAGCGGCCACTGTTACCGTATCCATACCCAAGGACCCTGCCCTTCTGGAGAGATGCTCGTCAACTCGACCACCTGTGTGCCGGTGCCTTGCAAACGCGGTCGCTTGTACTTCCCCCGCGAAAGAACATGTTACAGGATTGGCTCTCGCGGTCCTTGCCCGAATGGCCAAGTAGTCCTTTACGACTACAGCGCCAGACCATCCCTCGACGGTATCAGTTACAATGGTGTCTGCGGCTGTAAGAGCTCGATTAAATGCTCCTCTGAGGTGACCGATAATAAATGCGAAGACACTCCGGGCATGGTCCTCGTTAACAAAGCGTGTTACAAGTTGTACACTCGAGGACCATGTGCCAATGGCGAGTGGTTGGTCGCACAAAGGCAACCTAAGGATGAAATAGTCTGGAGGCAAAGACACATTCTACCCAAGGCGAGGTGCGAGTGTAGACCTGGTTACACGAGAACCAGCGAAGTAGAGAGCAACAGTCTGCTCGTACCGCACAAGTGCCAACCTCCCACGGTGGGACTCGCCAAGTTCCTCAACGAGAATGTTAAACTGATTAATCTCCGATGAGGACTGTCTGTATGGGAAGTCAATACTGTGATGATGAACACTTTGTACATATATTATACACGGTTCTCAATCCGCGAAGGCATCGCTGTGCCAAATAACCAAAATACTCGTTGGTGCCTCGCGTGCGCGTTGACGGATTCTTAAGGTTCAGTGTCTTTTACTATTTTTTTTAATTTATTGTAAATACCGTTTGTATCTTTTCTTTCTTAACGAAGACTGCTACCTATTCCTTCTTTCGATAAGTGAAATCTTGAACTTGTAAAAAGTATATTTGAATAAATCTACGATTTAAATTTAATGATTCTATATGGGCACTGTTATTTGTTTATCTCGTGGATAAGCACTTACTCTTTCGTATGAGTCATGTCACGAATCTGTTGCTCCATCGTGTGTATCTGCTTGTCTTTGAAGTCCAGTTCGCGCTCCAGAGCCGCTATTTTTTCTGTCTTGTCATCGAGATCCATCTAAAAATAATCCGTTTGTACAATTTAAAACAAATGTAAAGAAACGGAATTAATTATAAATATTCTTTACTCGAGAATGACTGTGTCGAGACATTCTACAAGTGCAAGCTTGTCACTGCGAGTACTTACAAGTAACTGATCCTTCTCGTGATCCAACTGGGCCATTGTCGATCGATGACAATTGATCTCTTGCCTCAGCTCCATGATCTGATTATCTAGTTGCAATTGTTGCTGCTCCAGATTTTTATTTCGATCCAAGGCACTCGATAACTCATTTTCGCACCGCTCCAGTTGACCCTGCACGTCTCCTAACGCCTGGTCGGTTTGGTCTTGCAGCGTTCTGTAAATTTAGGGACTACGTAAATTGTTTGTTAAGTAGTTAATGTAATTATTGATTCTATGACATTTTGAGTGGAAAATGCTTTTTAATGAGTTATTAAACACTTAATTATCCACCTTTTTTCAGTACTATGCATAGTAATAAAAATAAGTTAAAGTTTTAATCAATTAATTTATCAAAATACCTTAGTTGGAAATACTGAGTTCTTTGCTCACTGAGCTCCTGTTTAGTTCTTTTCAATTCTTCCTTAAAATCTTCAATTTGCTCATCAAGACCACTGATTGCAGCGCGCCGACTTCCCTGCGCAATAAAAAGTTCCCTTCGTTCCTGTTCGACTTTGGACAGACGACACTCCATTTCGACCAAATTCTCGCGGAGTCGACGTTGCTCGGACACGTGCGTTTCCGTAGCCAACTACAGGGTTTTTTTTTAAGGGAAAATGCCATTCCCAAAAGATGATATGTAGAGGTTTACCAATGCCAGAGAAAGAAAAAAAGTAGGGCAAAAAAGATTTTAGTTTAAATTTAAATTTTAAAAGTATTTTTAAAAGATGAAAGTAAATTTTAAAGTATTTTGGTTATGTGAAATGGTCCTAAATAAATTTAAAAAGACTGAATATGAAGAGTATGTAATTAAATAAGACCAGAGATCAACTCCTAATCTTAGGTAAGACTGAATGAAAAATTTGTAAGTACGAAAAATGGTAGTTAGAGAAAACCACATGCAACCATATAAGAAGAATTTATGTACTCTATACAATTTAGGATTTACAAAGGAGCGCAAAGGAATTCACTTTTAAATAATATCTTTCAAAATCACCTTCAGTCTTTCTCGAAGCGCATCTCTTTCACTGATAAGCCTTTCCACATCGGCTTTTGCTTCATCTCTATCACGTTCAAGTTTTTCAATCTACAATATAATAATATAATATAACAATATAACAAATATTACAATTGCTACGAGTAAGGCTAATTTTCAAAAGTAATGATTTTCACTTAGTGAATACATACTTTATTACTCATACTTGAGCTTCGTCTTTCATTGGAAGGTGACGCTCCACAGCGACAATGATTACATGGAGAACTAGATCGCTGCTGGTTTTGATACATGAGTAATTTATTTTCTAGGTTAAACTTCTCTTGGCAGACTTCCTTCTTCTCACGTAATAATTTTGATATGGCGTGTTCTTTTTCACTCAGTTGGGCCCGCAATTCACAAATTTCCGACCACAAACTGTCCTAAGGAACAAATACTAACATTAAATAGATGACCCGATCAAAAATAATTATATATAATTAGTTAACATACATGTTCTTTTCCAGTATCTTGCCGGTATTGATCTGATAAATTAGCACACTCGATTTTTCCACGATCAAGTTCCGACTCTAATCTCTTAATAGTATTTTGTAGCTGAAAAATGAAAATATATTATATGATTATCTATACAGGTTCACGCACGTTAAATTGTTAATTAATGTAATACCGAATCGATTATTATATTCTTCTCTCGGATTAAGCTATCGGCGGTATTGCTTCGTGACGAATCACCAGCAATATCTTTTGCACAGGCACATCTCTTAGGGCTCTGCTTTGAATGGCTTCCTACTTCATGACGATTACTAGATTGATCCTGATTTCTTGAGGCTTAAAAATAAACAAAATAAATCAAAAAACCCTTTTTATTATGCTGCAGATTGCGAAGTAATGAATGACACGATTAATCTTGTGAAGTAATATACCGGGAACCGGTTTCTCGACAAGTTTCTTTCTTGCGTTAACAACTGCTTTCCGCTCCTTTTCTTTGAGCTTACAATTATTCGGTTTTGCATTCTTTTGGTTTACAGCTTTTGGAGGAAATAGTTTTTCCGAATTCTTTTCAGTTCGTTCTTTAATTTTTTCTAATTCGCGAACTTTAGTCTTGTATAACTCGTTTTCTTTACGAAACTTTTCTACTTCCCGTTTCAAACTCGATTCTACAATATTCGTGAAAATAATAATTTAAATATACGCTAACATTAGTGAAACATACCTATCATTGTTAAATTATTTATTTTATCAGTCATCTGTTTCTTTTCTTCGAGGGTACTTTCCAAGGTTCTCTGCACACTTGTCTTTTCTAATCGACAAGCTTCTAAATCAGCTCGCAGCTCTTGTGCTTCTCGACGTTGTACTGTCAGCTCGCTTTCAAGTACATGAACTTGAATCATTACATCCTCCAATTTTTCCTACACGCAAGAACCATCATTTTCTATTTCAAAATCAAATCATCATAATTAATTCTTTACCTGTAGCCTACAAACTCTCCTATTATTTTCCTTGACTGTGGAGTTACAATCAGCTTCAACTCTCAAAGCAAGTCTATCTACGTCCTTCAATTCTCTTTCCAATTCTTCGTTTCGTTCAGCTAATTTCATAGCTTGGGCCATCGCGTCGTGCAGTTTATTCAGAGCTTCTTTCAATTGTTGCTCCAATTTCATCTTGGCTTCTTCTAAATTAGCAAGTTCGTCTTCGTGAGAGTACCGATGGAAACCGTTCATTTTTTCCGACCTGATGCAACAGTGATCTTTATTTATAGATGTACACGGTCTGCCACCTTCTAGCATTGTACGTAAGCGGGATATTTCTTTTTCTTTTGTATTCAACTATAATTATATTCATTGTATTATAATCAATGGAAATTAAAATTTAAAGTAATGTTAAAATTTTTAATGAAAATTTTTAATAAATGTTATAAAACATTCAAGGATTATAAAATTCATAACTGTACTTCAACAGTCTTGCAATCTTTGCATGCCTGTATAAAAATATCAAGGTATTATACCTGTGATTTCAGTGTCTGAACATTTTCGTGACTGATGAATAATTCTTCTTTCAATTTTATGACCTCATTATTCAAACAACTTATTCTATGATCAGCCTTTGACACAAAATCAACAATATATGGTTCAACCTTTCTTGAACTGAACGATACAGATGAAGTACTAGCCCTAGGAAGAGGCTCAGTCTCTAATGTTGGTCTTCTTAGAGGATAACAGGTACGTTTTTTAGTTGCTGAAAGTAACCATGGTAAATTTATAAAAAATGAATTTAAAAATATTCAATTTGTAAAAATGAAGTTGTGAATTTACCTAAGTTTACATTATTTACAATTGGCTTACAACATTTCCCTTGCAGTTCCAAAATTTTTTTTGATTTATTTGAAGATTCAACTTCTAGCTGCTTAATTCTTTGTAAATTTTTTGAAAATGATAGCTGTAAGTCACTATATTCATTCTCCAATTTTCTTATTTTCTTCTTATATTCATTACTTTGCTTCTGACTTGCTTCTTTAGCTTCTATCAATTCCAAATGAAGTTGATTACATTCTTGGACTAACTTTGCATTATCACATTTATACGGATCTACTGCTAATTGTAATTGACTACATGCCTAATTGTGTTAAAAAATAAAATGTGTGTTAAAGCATGAAATTATCTATTTTACATGTAAACAAAACAAAACAAAACGAAAAGAAAGAAACTCACAATAATGGAAATCAAAATATGAATCAAAGCAAATTAGTACTTTTTAAATATCTCAACTCACAAGCAAAGTACCAATACCATTACTATGTATTAGTATTCTGAAGTATTTGAAAATAATAATATCAAGTAATAAAATTATATAAACCTCAATGTTATCCTTAGCAAGAGACTGGAAGTGTTTCAAGCTTTCTTTAGTTTGCGCAAGATCAACCAGTAGAAGCTCAATCAAAGGCAGAGAATCAATCGACAGTGCTTGTTTGTATCCTAAGGCATCTAAATTTTTCCTTACAGTACGGTATCGCCCCGCAACACTATAATTGTCTGCACTCATATTTAAAATAATATATTTCTTTAAATAGAAAATGCTGTACAGTAACTATTATATGTCAATACAATATATTTCACAAAACATCATCTACTAATGTCACATCAATTTATTAAGCCACATAACCTCTATAAAAACACTAAAGTATAATATATTAAATTTAATCGTTCATATGTAAATTATTCCTTTAAAAACTTGAAAACTTATCATCTTTTTTAAATACATTTGTTGCTGGTAAGTAACGTATATTATTTCTCTGCTACTTGTAATGTTGCACATCAATAAAACCCTTTCATTCTCAGTACATTCATTCTTCATTATTCATAAGTAAAACATGTCGGACCATACAAATATACAATTTTTAATTGAAGATAGCGAATGGTAAAGTTGTAATAAAATATATACACTTTGTGACGCCATCCACGCCAACGCTCGATATTTTATTATATTGTGTCAAACGTCAAGTTGCCATTTTTTAAGTTCAATTTAAATGTATTGCCACTACAAAGGCATAAAAATTGGAAAACCCAAGCCATTAGTCTGTGGCGGTCTCATGATTCGACCATCCACATCTAGATGGTATCGACCAGCCACGAGCGGCAAGAAATACGCTTACTGAATATATAAGTCCGCATAGCGATACGAGCAGCACTTCGAACGTATATGAGGCAGATGTTACCGGCCGTCGAGCCTTACTGAGGAATCCAGCCGGTAGTATCGAGACGAAACGCTTCCTACCTTACCAATCTCTCTCGAGTGTGAGCCTGGCTACACCTCACACTACGGACTAACCTTTTACACGAGACTCCTCGTTCACACCTATCCATACGCATTAAATCCTTATAGCTACGTATAAATGCGGACGGATACGGATGCGAATCGCAACTCTCTAGTAATAAACATCACTAAAAATATCTAGTTCGATTATTTAGTACCAACACTACCGGTAGTGAGCAAAAGTAACTGTTGTACCACATTTAATGAACGCTTATCTAACCTTTACATTATTGCAGTCTATAAGATGACAAATGATAGAGAATTGATAGACTTTCAACTACAATTAGTGGAATTAGGCCTCTTAATTTTATGGAAGTACTTGAATATATGAGAGGAAGAAGAAAATATATATAAATGATATGTATTAATCATCCCAAAAGCTTTTTTTACATTAGCATACTCATCAATAAGCAATATTCATGAGAATTTGAAAAGTAAATTGTAGACCTGACATTTGAACATTAAATATGGTACGTTCGGCGCTACAATTTTAAACAACAGTTACTTTTGCTCACTACCGGTAGTGTTGGTAGTAAATAATCGAACTAGATATTTTTAGTGATGTTACTAGAGTTGCGACTTGCGATTCGCGTCCGTATCCGTCCGCATTCATACGTAGCTATGGGACCGGGGGGCCTATTCTGAAAAAAAATTTTAGCACATGTCATAAGCATTTATCACATCTAAAGTGATTAATTCTGTGGTAAACTGAAGTGACAAACTGATTTACCACAAAATTTTTTTTCAGAATAGGCCCCCGGGGTCTAAATAGCTACAAGTCCACGGCTAAAGAAACTCAGCAGGAAGTTAACGAAAATCGACCGAAAAAAATTATAGTAAAACTGCGCGTGGTTAATAAAAATAGCAAAAGTTATTTATAACTCCGCACAATTTCATTTTCATTGATAAAAAAATTATCAAAGTTGATCACTCATAGATCATCGATAACTGTATCTGCGTGGAATTTTAATAAAGTTTTTAGAGAAATAAACCCGTTCAATCGTTAGCAAAAATCTCGCGCAGTTTTTCTATCCAATCAAAATATTATTATAACCACCCATTAAAGAATAAATATTATTTCTCACTACAGTCATATACATATGCACCTGACAGATCAGTCGGTAACATAGATCCGTACACTTTTATTATTGTAAAGCACACTCTCATGTATTTAACTAATAAGAAATAATATTTATTCTTTAACGGGTGGTTATAATAATATTTTGATTGGATAGAAAACTGCGTGTGATTTTTGCTAACGATTGAACAGATTTATTTCTCTAAAAACTGTATTAAAACTCCAAGCAGATGCAGTTATCGATGATCTGTTAGTGATCAACTTTGATAATTTTTTTATCAATGAAAATAAAATTGCGCGGAGTTATAAATAATTTTTGTTATCTTTCTTAACCACGCGCAGTTTTTCTATAATTTTTCTCGGTCAATTTTCGTTAATTTCCCGCTGAGTTCCTTTAGCTATAAGATTTTGATATTCAGCACGTGTTCGATTCAAATTCAAACAAGTACAACAAATTAAATGTTGAATGTATTTGTATAGCTATTTAATCCGTAGATAATATATTTGTACTCTTAGATCGTAAATGTAAATGGTCATTTGGGAAAACTTCAATAAGTCTCAACAATAAAAATGGATTGCTTTGCACGCTATGTTCGTGAGCTGTGCAACGGATGTTTTACGATCTTTTAAAGCTTTTCGAAGCACGTACAACACTCCTTTTTTATAATGAGACGTTCAACCCAAGCAGCCCCCCCCCCCCCCCTCCTTGCTCTTGCTTTTTTTTAATTGAAGCGGACCAGAATGCACCCTTTAAGGGCAGCAAAGGAAAGGAGAGACGTGTGACGATAGGATGATGCAGCAATCGAGCCGAGAGGAAACTCAGGAGCAGATAGAGACGAGTATTCATGAAAATAAGTCGCATCTTGATATTTGTACCTTGTAGCCTGTCATTTTTTTTTCATTTACATTTAAAAAAATAAATTATATCCCTAAAGGAATTGCGGATATCTGTAAAATAAAATCATCAGGTCAATGCTTTTGATAACCATAACTAATTATTTTGGCTACTTAATCATAACAGTGCTACTTAAGTATTGAGTGACAGTCAAAGACTTTAATAACAATGAATAAACATTGTTGTCGACTACTGCACCAATATTAACAATTTAAATAATCAAAATACTTTCGGGCGAACTACTATATAACTGTGAATCCGTGTAGGTATAGTGTTTTCAATTAATTATATGTGATATATCTCCAACTTCCATAAATAAAATTCCCTAAACAAAGTTAAAAGTTTATAAATATAGTGTATTATAAATTTGATGGCCATTAATTTTGATTACTTATAATAGAGATAAGTAGAGTCAATTTATATTTATGATCTCTTGGCAGCATGATTAATAAAAAAGAAAAAAATTAAAGCAATATACAAGTCGCAAAGCAGTAATTCATGTAACTAATAATATCCCGTAAATATGTAATATCTAACTAAACACTAACTTCACTCATAATATAATAAAAAAAAATATAATAAAAAAAATAAATAAAATAATCAGTTATAAACATATTTTCAAAAATTGTATTTTTCAAAATTATTTTTACGCTCAATCGAAGATTGCATCATGCGAAAAATGTAAAGTAGGGAGTATTGAAGGATAACCTCATAATTTATAAATTACGATTTTTTCTGCATAGATAATTTTACAGTATCTATTCTTCTAATATAATAAATGGATTTTATGTAACTAATTCCATATAACACTAAAATATCCTATCGACCTAACATTTAAATTGTTTAACCATTTTTAGAAGTACGAATAATTGAAAAATATAATCAGATCAAACACAAAAATTACGTGAAAATATCAAAATACTCCATCAACTTACCATCTATAGTTTCTAACATATTTATATCAAATGGCATTGTGTTATGTGAATGAAATGATTTATTTTTAAGAACTGGATTATATCAGTTGACTAGTAACTCTAATTTTGACTTGGAATATGGTATCTTATTTAAATATGCATGTTGATTGATTTATCCTGAATTATTGTATATTAATTTTCTTCAAATATATTTCTAAAAAATAATGGAAATATAATAATATAAGCTTAAAACAGAATGATTAAGCGAAAATTCTAACTTCCATTTTGAAAAATTAATGTTCCATCTGATCTGTTACTCCAATAAATATCTTAATATTTTAAGATTATATGAAGTTTCATAGATTGTATGTAATAAACCTAATAATATTACAGCAAATATATCAGACTTGTTGAAATAGAAAAAAATTTCAAAGTTTGTATGATCCCTCTGTTCACATGTTCTTGAATTCACCAGAGCCATTGGCATTGAGCATAAGTATATTTGGATTCTCTTTTTCAAAGGCAGTCGCATCTCTACCTCCAGGTCGTTCTTCTTGACCCCATTCACCAAGTGTACCATGCATCACATCAGGTAGTTTACTTCTTTCCTTTTCTGCTTTCTGTGACATTTACTAGAATTTTGTTATTGAATACATAGGGACTTTTAAGCTCGTTTCTGATTTTTGTCAACTATTTTCAATATCAATAATTAATACAACTGAGATTACACACAAATAAATGAGTTTTATTCTTTCCATTTAACTTACAATGTTTGACAAAGTTTTACTTGTAACTAAAAATAGAATCTTACTACTCATGAAGACTGAACAAGCAATTTTGGTTCTATAGAATGATACAAAAACCAATAAGATAAACTATACCAAAACGTGACCACAATTGTATGACAATTTTATCAAAGTTGGTGGTCGCAATTCCTGTTTGTGAAATTTATCTTTAAATGCACTTATCCAACAAAAGTTAAGACTCAATATGGCTAAATTTATGACAGAAAAATTATCAAATATTCACAACACTGCATGATGAAATGATTCCAAAAGAAATTTATTGCAATAATTCTCGACTTGTCTTTGCAAAAATTTAGAGATAAAAATACTAAAACGAGTTTAAAGTATCTGTAAATGTATTTATAATTTTATCTACCAACCTTTTGATCTTGTTTAGCAAACTTATCGAACATATTTGCATATAATTTCTTCTCCTTGGCTAATTCTTTTTTAATTATATCATTACAAATAGCAACTTGTTTCACTGCAGCTGGATTTTTTGGTTCTAATTTTAACACTTCCTGAAAATCTTTAATTGCAATTTCAGGTGAAGCCAATTCCAGATAAGCCATTCCTCTTCTAAAATGAGCTTTTATATTCTTTGGCTCCAATTCAAGAGCTTTGTTGCATGCTTCTTTAGCTTCAAAACCATCTTTTAGTTTGAGGTAACACATTGCGAGATTTAAATTTGTATTTAGTAACAAAGTATCTCTTAATGAACGCATATCTTTAAATTCAAAATCTTCATTTATGTACTCCATAACTTTTTTGTACATTTTTATGGCTAGACTGTATTGATTATTTTTAAAATAGGTTGTGCCTTTTTCTTTATATGCTATAGCCTTTTCAATTTTCTGATTAGGATCCATAGACCATGCTTGTGGTCCCTCTTCAAAGCTTTTCAGTTCAACTTCATACTCAACATCAACACATGGTGGGACCTTATATTCTGGTTTTCCAGCCTCTTTGAAAGCATACTTGCTTTTAAGTTTAATGCTTGATATTTCTCCTTTCTTGAACTTTTCTAAAGCTATTTCAAGACCTTCTACAATGCCATCTGCCTCACCCTCACCTAATGGAAACTTAACATCTCTATCTTCAAATACTAATCCATCGTAGAAACCTTTGACATGAACTATAACAAAATATTTCATTGGCAACTTATAGAACACTAGAGTAAAAGGTATAAAAAAAAATTACAAAATGTGCATACCTTCAAGCAGTGATCCATAAGCTGGAGTTAAAAATCCTTCTCCAGCTTTAATTATATCCCTTACAATCGATTTATCTTTATCAGGACTCAAATCCTCACCTTCCCAATCGATCAATTCAACCTATTAATAAATAAATTATAACCAATCTTTATAATTTATACATAAACAATCAACAATGGTTAATAACTTACTCTAAATTTCAATGTTGAGTTTGGTGGAATTTTGGGGGGACTACCAATATCACCATAAGCATAATCTGGAGCACAGATCAAATCAGCTACTTCACCTTTTTTCATTGTTGCAACACCAATGTCCCATCCTTTAATCACTCTGCCCTTTCCAAGATCAAATTTGAAAGTTTCATTCCTGTCTTTGCTTGAATCAAAGGGAGTACCATCCAAAAGAACTCCAGTGTAGTGAACCTCAACATGGGCTCCAACTCCAGGAGTTCTTTCTCCAACACCCTCTTCAATAATTTCCTTAAGAACTCCCCCATTCTTCTGTGGTGTTATATCGACAGCCATGCTACATTGAAACAAAAGTATTGAAACAATCTTTTAATAATTTTTTATGAAAATCTATCATATCACGTAACGAAAACGATCTTGTTATATCAAGCGGATAATTGATTTATTTAATTACTGAAATTAAATAAATCAAAAAATAAACGCTACAACTCAATCAACGTACTCTAATCTTAAATAAGTTTTAAAATAAATAGTAAATAATTGATTGATCGAGAAGTCGGCTAAATTTTAGCCTAAAATTGACAGAGCATAAATGAGATGCAATGAATAATCGGAATAAAATGGAAAATCAACAATGTTAACCACGTGGTGTTGTATAACCGCGTCTAACGTCCAAAAATTGTATTGAGAAAAAAATAATACGTACATGCGATTGGTTTCGGTTGGAGTTTGTTTTTCTAGGCGTTTTCTACTTAAAGTTTAGGATAGGAATACTTACACGTACGAAGAGTTGATGAAGAACTGAGCCAAGAAAAATTGTTCAATAAAATTACAATGCTTTTAGAATCACTGTAGAAATTGCTGGAACTTCATAGCGTATAGGCGAATGTTTTACGAATATAGGTATCGTGATGACGCGGTCAGTGTACCACCCTTCCCGGCGTCATATGTCATATATAGAGACCGGACAATCTGCCGAGTGCCGATAAATTAGATTTTAGATTATCTGGACATAGAAGACCACCGCGAGAGGCACCACCGGTACATTCGTAGATGCGAGTGATGCGACCGACGTGGAAGACGCCATAGCATATTGAGGGGCCGGGATACAGCTGCTACTACTATTCAAATTATTCAATTCTTCTTTCCTCCTTTATAGTCTCCATGGTCTAAACACGCCTGAATATAACCTATTTAGTACTGCATTTAATGTGCCATTAGATTATATTAATAATAGTTTCCATAAAATATTATATCTATAAATGTCTATTGAAGTCTAATTACAAAAGTGATAATACTGTACGTTGTATGTATGTACTACATTATAAATTGAAATTATGTATTATTCATTTCTATTTGTTTGTAGCATAAAACATGTCAGATGCTCGTTTACGAACGTTAAAAATTAAAACTGGAGTTGTAAAGAGGCTGACGAAAGAAAAAGTAACATACGAAAAGGAAGTTACATTGCAGCAGGAAAGGGTCGACAAGCTTAAAGAACAGGATAAAGATAAACATGTAATAAAAAAACAAGAAGAAGTATTACAAGAGTCATTGATGATGATACCTGATTGTCAACGTCGTTTGGTGAAAGCTTTTGAAGAACTGAAAAATATTATTGATTCTGAACAAGACTTGATAGAAAGTGAAGAGTATGCTGAAGCAAAAAAGGTATTAGAGGCAGCTGAAAATCAAGTTTTAAATAAATGATGCCGTTTACGACATTTTCATCAAATCATTTTTTAAACATAAACTTTTTTGAACTATTTTATTGAAGCGAATTCTAACTATAAAAATTTGTCTAAAAGTCCTTGTGTAACATTAGTGATCTAAGATGACTCAGTTTAATACAAACAATTCGAGCTTAACTGCTATTCCACAGATAAATGATGAATTGTTTTTTGAAACTTTTACAAAAAGTCAAGAAGCACTAACTAACAATTTATCCCATAGAATGGTTAAGCGTACTGAGGAACTTAAATATAATATATCTATGATTTTTAATTTGAAGAAAAACTTTGAAAGTTTGAAAAGTGTATTATCACAGGACAACTTGAAATATGATCAATTTTATCAACAAAAACAATATTTGAACGATTTGAAACTTCAAATGGAATTCTTATTAGAAGAAATGAAAAATTATAAACAATATTTACCTGTTCAAAAAAAGCTTGCCTTAATTCCTGATCATGTGAAAAGAAAGAAGAGAAATCGAAAGTCAAAGAAACTTGAATGTAAACAAGTAAAAAGTTTTATTAAAAGTAAAGTTGGTAAAAAGAAGCCTATTTTGAAGGATGATATTGAAAATTTATGTAGAAGTAACCATATAAGGCTTTCAGAAGTAATTTCAAGAAAAACCGAAGCACAGAAATTTATAAATTTACTTCAAGATGTGACTCAATTAAGAAAAGTTAAACTTGCAAATGCAAGAGTGGAAGGAAAAGTATATTCTGATGAAACCAATGCTGTAGTTGAAAAAATAATTAATGGGATAAAGGAACAATGGATACACTTGATAAATGAGTATAATTTAGAAGAACGTAATTTAAAAGAAATTATGAAAGATGATACTTCAAATAATTCATCAAATACAGCAAAACTACATTATTGGGAAAAAATATTATTTGGTGATGACATCTGCAGGACTTCTTATGACAGCTTAGAAGAAAATTTAAAAAAATATTATGCTTTGCTAAGATGTATGTGGGATGATTGTATTGATACGAATGAAGGATCAAACTTACCTCTTGGCTGGGTAATGCCACAAGAACCATCTCACCCTACATGGGAAGAATATGTCAAAAAGACATCCAATTGAAATTTTAAGGACCTAAAAGTTAAGGATTCATCTTCTTTCATTTGTTTGTAATAAACTTACACTGGCACAATTACCTAAGGTAATGCAGAAATTCAATTTTATCTGATATCATTAGTTAAAAGCTTTACTTGATTTTTTTCTATTTTTTTCCAGATGATTTCCACAAAACTCTTACTATGATAAAACAGGCTGCAAATATGTACTGCATAAGGAACTATGTATAATATATAGTTTTTTATATAGAAGATATATAAGAATTTAGTATTTGAGAATCACTTAATGTACCTTAATTTAATAATGTTTCTAAAATTGAATGCTGAATGTTGAAACATAATATAGCTTACTTTATTACATATTAAGAATTAATTATTTCTCTAATAAAAACTAATTTACTTGATAAAATTATGACTAATAATTAGAATGAACCTTACTAATGAATTACTAATCATTGAAATATTTTATATTCTGTCATAAGTTTTAGATAATGATTAAAAACACTAATATTAAAATTTGTAAATGAACCATCATTGTATTTAAAAATGCAAAATTCGACAAATCCAAATTTCGAAACTAGTATTTTGATATTGAAACGACATTGATAAAACTATTGATAACTTTTTAAGAAAAGTAAAGATAAATTCAATTACTAAATTAAACTAAATAATTAGATTGAGGCTACATTCATGCTTAATCTACATAACTAATATAGTTCTTTTTATTGTATAAACGAGTTCTGGCCTTAAGTTAATAAATTTTGGATGAATGTTACTACTAGGTATATCAATTTGAATCTGCGTTGACTACATTCTAAAAGCATATACAGGGTATATTTTGAAGGTCAAAACTACAAACATGAAAAAACATATTAAAAGAACAATAGCATATATATTTTGTACAAAGAGAAATATTCTTATTACAACATTATAAAATCTATGTTGACACGCGTATTCGCTCACGATAGAGATAATAAGTTTGTAGAATGATACAGCTCATACGATACGCGATAACAGGGGCGTTATTATTTTTGTTTTTTCAATAGTTTTAATTCCAAGGGAACTTCATCTGTAGGTGTTGCTTCTAAATTTTTATTTCTCGTCATGTCCCTTTTACCCCTTTTTTTCACTTTCGAATCGTTAATTCTTGATTTTCTTTTTTTTTTCTGTTTGCTTCTCATCTTGTCTTCATTCTTGCGAAAAATACATCGACAAGAAATACATTTAATACAAAATAAACACATTTACGTATAATGCACTATATAATTTATTTATGCAGTGTCGGAGATATACCACTTATATCAATATGTGAGTTTGTTTTTATCCCTTACGTTTAATATAGTTTCTCGAAACAATATAGGTATGCCACGTTAACGTTACTCTATCAACTAGTTATTCTTTTATCTTTTTTAGAATTAGACTGATACACATCAACTAGTACTTTATACGCCTGAAATCTTTGTATTGCGATGTCCAAATGGTCCTTTTTGAGCATCTGATTTTATTCTTACTACTACACTTTTTATACGGTGATCGTTTTACAGACTTCACATTTTACATTAAAAATGCATTCACGGTGTATATTTTAACGTAATAAGTTGATGTCGCATATTGTAGCAAAGAGACGCTTTATTTGTTTTATTTTATTTGTGGTATTTACTCAACAGCTCGAAATTAAAGAAACTTGAAATATTAAAAGACGAAAAAACATTGTCGAAATATTCACATCGTTAGTTTATTAATATTTTTAGTGTTAATGGTTCAAGAATTAACGTGTTAACGTTGTCACTTTTTGTATGTTAATATACGCGATTTTATTTTTAATCTCTTACAATATAGAACTTTTTATGGACATTTACTTGACTTCACAACATTAATTTTCATTATTTTATCAATGCGATATTTGATCTATAGTCATTTCCTAGACTTTTTAGATAATTATATTTTATACTTTAACAGTTAAAAGCTTTTCTGTCAACATAGTTATATTTATTATTTTTCCACTTAGTCATCATATCAAATGATTTTTAAATTTATTTTAAAAAGATTGCACTTTTCGACCATGTATTTTATATTTTCAAGTCACTTTCTGTGATTTTTTTCTGGATAATGAATAGTGGCTTTAAAAGTCAATGGCTTTATTGTTAATCTCTGGTCCTTAAAGTTTCGGGAGTTGGCCTGGTTTTACCCGTGATTTAGAAAAGATTCGACAATTTTTCTGTAAAAGTTTCAGTGTCCAACAAACTTCGCGTGACTTTTTTCTGGACAAAAAGTCTGTTGTAATTAAAAGTCGTCTCAAAATCTGGTGGCAATTTCGATAAATCTTCATCATCTTTTTGGTTTCGAAAAATGTTGTACTGTTACACTTATTGAATATTTTAGACTAGCACACTAATCACGATGACAAATAATGTTATAGTTCTAGCTGTATCTAGGTCTATTATCTGTATGCTTCGATCAGCGCTCATTTCCATGACTAGGAATTCTCGTATTGTGGAGTTTGATATGAACGCTGATTGAACAAGCAAGCTTTAGCTAACGGCTAGACTATTGAACTAACAAATACGTTCTACATCTTACAGCTTACATCAATGACGGATATACACTAGCTAACGAGGACGAGAAAAAGATTTGTTTTGCAGTTGGACGCCGATCCGTCATCGATTTGAAAATAGTTACTAAAAATCACAGAATTCATAAAAGGAAAGACAATGATTTTTGATTTTTGTTCCTTTCGCTTATAGAAAAAAGATATATTGCATAACATCACGCAAAGTATAGTTTACCTTGAGAGTATAAAAAATTTTACAGCGCATTATTAATACAGCGTATAATGCTTTTTACTTTTAGGTAAAATAAGGGGACAGTCTCTTTTACTTTTTCACAACAGTGAACTAAATTAGTTGCACTTTATTATTATAAAAGTTACAAGATTTTTTATTGGCTTATTTTGCTTAAACTGGAATACAAAAACTATGAGATCTGTAAAAACGAATAAAAATACATTATCATTTTGATATGAAGTTTCATTTTTGATAGATATCGGAGGTGTTCGTAATTAAATTGCATTAAAAATAATCGGCAATTTCATAGTTGAAATATTTTTTAATATTTTTAAAGCTCTATGATCACATTTAACAAAACTATAGAAATTTTGTTGCACTCGACAGAAAAATAGATGTATATGTTTCATTACTGTCCCCTTAAAACGTAATACAAACATCGCTCGAAGTCTATCAATATGTTATTACATTGATTAATCGCCTTTTGCCATGGCTCGATATAAAGTAGTAAGAATAACCATTAACGAACAATTACCGTACAGAACTATTTTGTGCGACAACGCTGAAAGGATGTGCACGCGCTAAAGCACAATAATTTTTTCTTATACAGTGTTAGTTCAATTGTTGTTGTTGGAATGACAATTATAGTCGGAATCTACAACGAAAGTTTCAAAGTTCTTACAATTAAAAGATTTATTTAGCATACTGGTCCCATTGATGCATGTTTTTTATAAACATTTAAGTACTTTTTATGTATATTAACTCCAGCGTTGTTTACAAATCAGTCTCTCACTCAGTTATACTTACAGTTTACCAAAGCTTTTAAATGGTTTGGTTTGTCAAATCTTACAAGGTTTTTTTCTTTTGTTTTTGTTTTTTGTTTTTTTTTTTTTTTGACAATACAATATTTAAATTATGACTGTATGAATTTCTATGTTCACTGTGGGGTGTAAGATAATTTTTGATAGTTATTCGTATCGCGAGACTCACGATCGATTAAACTAATACAGTGAACATATAAAACTCAAGAGACCAAGTCAAGCTATATTTGGCGTTAAACACTAACAAGCACGCAATTTTATCATTAAACATTAAACCTCGAAAGCATACGACGAGTACAAAGAAACAGAAAAGTATAGCTCTTTTATCTCATCCATAAAGCTCGCACGCACACTTTACAAGACACATAAACAGCAACAAATTACTAGATCGTAAAATTATGCAAGTCATGAATTTTTTAACTTCGTGTTTTCGTCAAGCTAACATTGGCAGAGGTTTCTTGTTTTTTATTTGTTATCGGCTAGAAAAGAAAGAAAAAAACGCAAGACACGACGCAGGAAAAAAAATGTATGTGACAAAAACATTTTTCACCCCCTTTAAAACCTTTTTGACGCATTTTCTTATCTTTCCGGAAAAAAGTCCTTGTGGTTTTGCCCTTCTTACTAAAAATCACAATCTACTTGCGGAGTGATCACAGTTCGACAGAAGGCGTTTAGTACAATAACGTTTTTAATCTTGTTTTATTTTTCATCTTTTTTTTGTTGTTTTGTTAGTTACAACGTGTGAGGTGTAACTTTTTTTCTCGCAACGTTATCTTACTTTTTTTGCATAATAAAGACATGTATGTTTGTATATTCCTACAATAATATATGCTTCGGAAGAATTATTTACAGTACATATATAATAAGAACTTTTCGTCACATCTTTTTTTTCAAACGAAGAATTTATGTCCATGTGATGTTATTAAAAATCGGACGATTTTCAAAATTATTAAATGCCTAATTTGTATTCTTTTTTTTCGATAATTTGATCTTGATTTCATGAGATATGTGATCGGCGAAAATTAGTTTTCGTTTATGATCGTTTCTTCTCTTTCTAAATCAGTCATTATTATGTAAATGCATTGTAAATACATGTAACAAAACAGATTCTTTTTTAACGAGTAATTATAGTTATACAGCACAACGATGACTAACAAATATCCTCATTTTTATCAGTTTGTGTTAGTGTTGTAGTCGTTACAAAAGAAAAAATTATAAAATTGCTTGATTATTGGTTTAAATGAACAGTTGCATAACAAATGATGCGCAATTTTCTAAATTACTAACAGAAAAAGTAATGTGAAGCAAAGCTGATAAATATTTTAGTAAATATAAAATCGAACAAACAAATGATTAATTTTCGTAAGAAACACCAAGAAGATCCACAACATCGAAACGCAGTTGTCAGATTTATTCCTGCGTCTGTATATACATATATTTACAGTAGTCAGTTCCCATAAAAATAAATCGTGACTAAGAGAGCGCAAAACCGCATTGAGCAATAAACACTGGGAAAAGCGCACGGAAGAGACAACACTGATCCTCCCCTTCGCGTTTCCACATGTTTTTGTTCGAAAATTAGGAGAAGGAATTACCGTGATTATGTGGTGGTCTAACCGCGTGACACGCCCGCGAGTTTACGTATTTTTCTGTTGTCGTCGATTGTCGTAAATTGACAAGAAACCGTTCAATTTCCCATGCAAATTTCCATGGAGGTGACAGAATTTCACGCTCAATCGAAATTTTGCCTAATTAAGCGTTAAAACTGATCGGATTATTACGCAATCAGGCTAAATTTAATGGAAAATTTCGCCACGAGAAGTACGATATTAATTTTGTTGCGTTTTCATTCCATAAATTAATATAAAATCTCATAGTTAACTTTACGATTAATGCTTAAGTAATATCGATCGCAAAAAAAAGCAATTAACAAAATAGATACGCAATAAAAATTAAAAAATCTCCGAATATATTCTTTTGTTAACCAGCAACAATTTCATACTCGGAAAAATGTTAGAAGCATTTCAACTGTAAATGTTTCATCAAGGAACCATTGAGTTTTATAGTTAACCGTAGATGTCTTCCTTTGCTCGCAATGGGTGTAAATCACACAAATTCGCTTGCAAGGTAATCTTTTCTCCACGATAACCTTAGAAAGAGAGGAGAGAGAGAAAGAGAAAGAGAAGAGGTGTACACAACGAAGATTAAAAACAAAGAGAGAAAACATGTTCATCCCATTATCACACTCCAATTATTTGTTGACTTTGCGACGGAAGAGTATTGGTGATTTTTGCTCTTCTCTCTTGTATGCGAGAAAAAACTAGCGTTGGGGAGTTAACGCCAGATTTTTCGCCCTCTCGAGATCAAAAGTACCCTTGGTTCGCTTGCTCCGCACGCACGTCGTTTCTTTGATTTAACCGATGCGACGACTCAACATCCACTTTTCTTCTTTAAAAATTTAATTCTCAACACGCCGTGCGGAAAGCACGACTTTGCCGCACACTCGGCGAAAAACGTGCGCTCGAATTCGCGCTTCCCCCACGTTATTTCGAAAAAAAATTGTACCTAACATGTTCGGCAAAGAGATTTTCGCCTCGTGTAGCTTTCCACCTTCGCTTCACTCGAGCGTAAACCAAACACGAGTGGAGTATCTATGCTTTCCCAGACTAGTTAGATAATGTACTGTTTGCGATGCGGTACAATTAACGCACAAGTGCCATTTATCGTTCTTAAGGATTTTTTAGTATCGATTATGCTCGAGAGCGACAAATCAATCGCAGCGAATCGTTGAAAAACGACATCTTTCAAAATCGCGCGAGAATTAGGCCGCAAGCCCATCATCGCCACGGCATTCTTTCGCAGCAGAACAACGCGCTTTTTCCTCTGTACCCCGAGCGAACTTTTCAAGCTATTACCTCGCAGACGGCAGTGGGCACTCGGCTGCACTAGCTTGCCTCGCGCTAGCGTAAAAAGCGGCTTGCAGGTACAATTATAAATAAGTACGGAGCGAGCGAGGCTAAGAATCTCAAGGTGGCTTTGTGTCTCGACGAGCTGATATATACTATTCCGTCTGGAGCGCAACGCCGCTGTAATTATCGTAAAGCCTAAGGGCGATTCGGCGGGGCGCAACGTGAAGACCGTTTAAAAATTAATAATTGACTTTGTGCAAATAATTGCTGGAGTATGCCGTTCGCACTCGTGATGAAAAGTTCTTCGGTCGAACGAAATTATCGGCGACGGGAACGTGCCGTTCGGAGAGAGCGATTTAAATTAAAAACGCCGTGATCGCTCATTCACGCGTCAAAATGCACGTGAGATTGCGCCGTCGCGATGGCCCGAAGTATTCGTTAATGGAAAATTAATACGTCGATGAGAGGAAAAAGCCGAATCGAATATAATTTCGCAGAGTTAGTAATGAAAGTCGGCCTCTCTCTCTCTCTCTCTTTCTCTCTCTCTCTCTCGAGTTTCCTCTCTCATTAAGTAATTGCAGGGCAATTACATTAGTGGTGAAATAGAACTCGCAGCAAACTTTTCGGACGAGTCGACGACGAGGGACTTTTGATGGTTGATGTTAGGCCCATTTTCCATCGATCTATTTCTCCTTCCCGCTCTCTCTCTCTCTCTCTCTCTCTCTCTCTCTCTCTCTCCCTCTCTCTCTCTCGAGCCCGCACGCACGAAAACTACCTAACATTTTGTTTACATCAAGTGTAAATGAAAGCGAACCGGGGACAATTCGGGGCAGCGATAAAGCTGCGAAAAGTTTACTTGGGATGGAGACTTATGTCCTCGTTTTTCACTCCCCGGCAAAAGCGTCGCGTCATATTACAGCTGGGTCTTTGTTCGCGAGACAGCGAAGAATGATGGAAAAAGTCCGCAGCAAGCGAGTCGAGCCTTGAAGCAAACGGATCCTTAGTCCAGCTCGTCGAAGTGCTGGCTGAGCTCGGTATACCGATAGCCCTACAACTCGGAAAACTCGCGTCCATTGCTCGTCCTGGTCGTGGTGGGTCTGTTGCCGCTCGGACTCGCATAAGAGTGTATGATGTGGACACGCAGCTTGACGTCACCGGAGCCCGAACGTCCACCCGTGGGATCGCCGCCGCCGCCGCGCTGACGACGCGAGAAGCTCACCGTTGTCTTGCAGCAGCAGTAGTGGAACAGCTTGATGTAAGCACTGCGGAAGTGGCGATCCGCCACGCAGTACAGCAGGTTGTTAAAGCACGACTTCGACAGCGCGAACCAGGCTAGGTAGAACACGATCTTCGGGCTCACTGGCTTCACCTGCGAAACAGGTTTCCCGTGTGATTTCCCGCTCCAAGTTGGCCTCCACTTTGTAACGCAGTTGATTCATTGCACGGCACAGCGGCCGAGCGGACGCAAACAGTTTTAGAGAGGCAGCTTATAACTGGCGCTAATGAGAATTAGAAACTCGCAAAGGCACGCCTCAACGCCGTCGAGTAGCAGCATGAATTTCGCTCAAATTAACCGAGGTGTCAGTTCACAGTTTTCAGGTGGATGCAATTGAAACAAAGAAATCGTATACTCACCACGCTCACGCAGAAGGTGATGCCAAGGGGCAACCAGAACAGGATGAAGAAGAAGAAGCTGTACATGTTGGCCTTGGTGAGCTCGTAGTCCCAGTTGAATGCCACCGATGGCTTGTAAGAGCCGCGCATCGCGCTTCTGACGCTGAGGATGAGTCGCGCGTATACGAGGACGGCGAAGAGCATGGGCGCCACTATGATCACCGACACCGTCACTATTCCGCTCGTGTTGATCCTCATCATGAACGGCTTCTTGCGATCGATGTCGCACAGATTCGGGCCCAATTGCAAGTACGATTGCACTCCCACCAATGTCAATGCGATCAACCAGACTACGATGAATGCCGCCGTCACTTGGCTTGTCGTCAACGCATTGTATCTGCAACGATCAAGTTCCCTTTCGTTATTACTCGCAAACGGCTTTTCCTCCTAGCTTATTAAGGCGCCTCGTCCCGGGATCACTCCACGTAACGCTCGATTGTTCATTAGTTCGTCGCAGGGCCAAGTGAAAGGGAACTATCGATCGCTCCAAGTTAATTCGTTGATTCGCGCTGGCAACGTTTTAATTACACAACCGGAGAAGGGGGATGGCACGGGTCGATGGGGAACTCGCTTTATGCCGAACGTTTCCCGGGCAGCAAGTAAGAATTTGATTAACAAACCGATACATAATTTTGGAATTTCATTTGTCGACATGAGTTGTTACTTTATCGCGAGCATTGTAATTTTATTAACCGCGCGCGGAGATGGGGATTGCATTCAATTATCGGAATTCCGAAAAGCGAATTCGAAGCCGCTCGTTGATGCCAATTTCAATGGCCGCGCACATGTGTTCTATAATTGTGCATTCCTGCAATTATAGAACAAACTGCATAATTCAAGGGCAAGCAACTATATCAAGTGATTTTCCGAATTAAGCTGCTTTACGGCGCTCAGTCTCGCGCTAATTAACTTGCCTAAGAGAATTGATTACGCGAGTCGAGAGCGAGACTGTGGAAATGTCATCAGCACTTGCTAATTTGCACGCATACGTGTAGCAACCAAGTTTTAATCGAAACCAAGGTAGAGCAGACTGACAAGTGCCAGTACACAATCTAATCCTGCCAACTTCGAGCGAACTCTGGGATAACATAGCGTAGGTAACGTGCCGTAGCTGTGTTTGACCGAAAGTTCGATCGCAAGTGTGTATTACTTGACTTTAATTTATACCCTGTCACGCGTATCGCGAGTTTCACCTGATCCCCTCCCCCTTCCATTTCTCAGCCAAGATTAACGTTTGATACGAAATCGACTTGCATTTTACGGCGAACTTCGCTCGCGAATACGCCACGACAGTTATCAAAAAGTATGGGTAGGTGCGGCTGTTCGCGAGCCTTTTACGCACGCTCATCGCGCAGACAATTCATGTCGTTTGCCCTGCCTCTATCCGCTCTACTCAGTGTCATATTTCCCGGTGTATGTAGTTGAAAGAAAAAAAGAATTTTTCTCTGGTGGAACGCACAAACTATCGGCGGGAATTTCGCTTTGGAAAAAAAAAATTCCATGAATCGAATATGCGATTCGAACGTGCAAGGCAAATTATTCCACCTAGGAGCTACGACAGAGGCTTATGGATTTTTCTTTACTTCGCAGTCTGCAGCGACGCATATTAATTCGATTCGGCAGCAAATGAAAGCTCGTGCCGAATTTAAGCTCCGACGAACGACGATGCAAAATTTAAAAGTCAAAATCACGATGAGCTTACAGATTTGAATAAGACTCGAGCATGCAAGTTGCGCGCCGAATATTTCATTGGACTTGATGCTCGATGTGCTGTAGGTGTGCACAAAGGCCCTTTGATCACGCCGAGCGAAACATGTAAGGCAAATCCGCGCTAAATAATTCCGTGGTACACCGTCGCGGGCTATGCCGTTATTATTGCAAGCCTGGACGAGCAGACCTGCTTAAACGATCGTTTGCCTACCTACGCGGAGGTGCGGAAATTGCGCTCGCGAAATGCTGAATTATGCATCTGACAGATGGCCGTGGCAGACTGATGGATAGTCGTTTCCTGCATTCTTGCACGTCTGATCTAAGTTGTGTTATTTACTCTTTGGCCGCGCGCGTTGGCTAATGGAACTCAGCGGGAAATCCACAAAAGTCGGTTCGGAAAAATTATAAAAAAACCAAAAGTTGCACACTCCCAGATCAGTCGAAATTGAATCTGCGTAGCGTTTTTAATAACGTTTTGAAATTAATGTGTTGAATCGTTAGTAACAATCACATGTATTTTTCTATCCAATAAAAATATTATTATAACCACTCTATTCAGAACAAATATCATTTCTCACTATAGCGATACACGCACCTGAAAAATCAGTCGGTAATATAGGTCTCCATTTTTTTTAACAATACCCTCTTATAATAAGGGCTGTGTTCATGGGACTGGATTATTTTCTAGGATAACCATCAACATTAACTATTTATTAGAAAGGAATTTTTTTTAACCCAGATAAGTCTAGGAGTACTTGAAATTATTAGTTATTGAAGAAACAATCCATCCTTATCATTACAGGTCTTACATGGTTAAAGTGGATTGCTGGATATTTGAAAAATAACCCATGCTTTCAGAGTACAGTATTTCCTTAATTTATGTATTAGCACCTGAACATAAAATTTTCCATGAAAAATTATACAAAGCGTTTGGTAGCTGCTTAAGACATTGCACAGAATCCAATCGAATTTTGTGATCGTTTACCCGGTGAGCTAATTCTCGCCCGGACGTTCATTACACAGAAGTATTTGTAAATTGAATTTCGCGCACGCAATGAAAATTGAAATAGCATCTAGCAAAGATAGAAAGACTTTTACAAGTTTCGATGCGATGATGAAAACCTAATTTCGATTCTTTTTCCCTCGTGCGAGTATTAGGATGCCCGATTTAGCATTCATATCTATTCACGGCCTTCCGCGCGACATCAAATAATAAAATACAATTGTTTTCCACGTGCAATATAGACTTCCTTTCTTCGGGTCGATTCAACATAATGCACGAATATTACGTTCGGCGTGACAGGCGCGAAATACTCTTCTGAAATTGACAGACTCGCCGATCAAAGAAAAGAAAAAATATTTCATTAACCGCTCGAATTTCGCCAACGAACCATTCAAAAACGTAGTTAAAGCCCCCCCCCCCCCTTTCCCTGCAATTAAAGCGTCGATCAGGCGGCGGAACGACCGAATATGCGCCGTGTTGGCGTACGCGGAGCGAGGAAGTGGCGACGATGCGCGGCACAAAGGCTTTCCCGTCACAAACTCATGACGCACTCGCCGCCTGTCGGCAAAAAATATTCCCGAAATTGTGCGAAAGCCGTGCTTACACGGCTCGATTGTGTCAGACTGCCTGTGACTGAGCGCTGGCTTTTGATGAAAATTTGATTGCGCAGCCAGACGGAGTCGGCCGAGCGTACTTTTCGCCACTTTTCGGAAGTACAAAGCGAGAGGCAAAATAACGCCGTTGACTTCTTATTACTTAGGTTCATGAATAGACGGATTAAATTTACTTGGATACTCTCACTCTAGGCGGAATTCTCATTCTTCGCCTCTTTGAACGTGACCGTCAGGTCGATTCGGATTGCCTTGCAAAAATTCGCGCAAGTCACCGTAATTGTACTTGCATACGGTATTTTCGAAATAAGAAAATCCGAAAATGCAATGACTATCTGCCCCCTTTTTTAAGGAAAAAGAAAAGAATATATATCATTTCGTGCCCATTTCAATTCTAGGATAATCCGAGAGCGTCTCTCGCAACGCTTTTGGGATTTCGCGTATCAAAGAAGCGTATTGTGGGTGAAATTGGATTCGAGCCAAGTGTAATAGACATAATAAACGTCGGCGAAGGTATAGACTCACTGAACCGCTGCCGCGCGCAATCTATTTAACTTGTAAGTGCCTTTCTTTAATAGAAAGTCAGGCGAGAGAGAACATTGTCAGATTGCCAAGCCATCATCGCCTCCCGCCCTCCCGAAGTTTTGTTTTCTCCGCGATAAATAACTTTCAACAAGTGCTTTTATCGGAGAGAGGGGAGGTTAACATTACATCGGCATTGTACACGCTATGTTTGGACAATGCTGCATATAGATCACACTCGATACAATATCCCGGAATATTTGCTCCCTTGCGATAAGCTTTTGATCGTATGGAGGCTCTTTATGGAAATATATGAAAAGATCGAAATGAAATGAACATCGGAATGAAAGCGTCGACGAATGATAAACCTTGACGTATAGTTCGTTACGCCAGCCAAACGAATGTCGTTGGAATGTGCGAATAAATTCCGGGGCCCTCGGACGGGGTACGATAATTGTTCCGGAGATAAGACCTGTCCGCTAATTAGCTTACGTAGACTCGCAAATCTCGATAGTATCCTCAGACTTCCCTCGGGTTATTTGACAAGGGCTGTTGCGCTATCTGTCCTCTGTTGCGCCGCTTGCGAGGGTCCAGAGTATAAAATGCAGCGCGATACCGCACGCGTGCACAGCGCGAGCGCGCCTTGGGGAGGCGCGATTGCCAAGTTTGCCCTCGGAGCGGAATTAGCTCAGGATTTCATTTATCCACTGTTTGGAGTCAGGAGCGTCGAGTCGAATCTCAGGCGAGAAATTCAGAAAATTGAGATGTTCTGGACGGAAGGCCGGAATTACCTATCGACGGGCCAGCACAGTCTCAAAAAGTTCTCGCTGGCGACGAGGGTGAAAGTGAAGACGGTGACGAGGAAGCAGAGAGCCTCGAGGGTCCACTCGAAGTTGCAAATGCCGCGCGGAGAATCCTCGTGGCCAGCTAGTATCAGTACTGCCGATGCTGGGATCACCATGCCCGAGATCAGCAGATCCGCAAGTGCTACGTTGACCAGGAACGCGTTACCTGAAAGTTCATTTCAATTTCATCCTTTTATATATTATTATTTTTCTAATCTTAGTTATTATTGCTTTCGTTCGCGAGTGCCAAATGAGAATCTCCTTGCCCCTACGCGGTCAAACTTTCTAAAACCCGCGCGAAAAATCTCGAAAGCAAAATATACCCTTATACGTAGCGCAACTCGAGTTTTCACTTGCTGCGTACTCTTTTTTAATGCAGAACGAAGTCTCGTGTATATTATCCGTGCTGACTATTGCCAAGGACCGTGCGTCTTTGTGTGTCAAATGATCAAACACTCCTAGCAGCTTTTTGTCTGCACCTACAGTGCAAGAAGCTGAATAAATGTAAGCGACGGCTTTCTAAGGGACCTAGTTATAAGAGTGAAATCATACGTTTCGTAATTCATTTTTCAAATGACAAGTTTTTCCAGTAAGCCGTGGCCATATAATTTCACTATCAAGCTCTTCCAAAATACGATCTCAAGTCCAAAATCCCTTTACGTGTTTTCAACCAAAGTTCATAAAAAATTGTAAGATCAATAAGTTAATTCAAAAGGGTCTCATAACAATTCTGAGGTCGAAATCTTAGAAATTGCACTTATGTCAGGAAGTCACAGGATTCGTCAAGAACATTTCTGAATTTTACTGTCGGGAAGTTAACGAAAAAAAATCGAACTTCCTCTATATTAAAAGCCAGACTATGCATTAGATATCTTCCCTCGTCTCCGAATGGACTCATACACCCGAGAATACGACGTAGCCTTAAAAAAACAATATTAAAACTTGGTCGAGCATCTTGCTCGTAAACTCGGTTAATTTTGTTCTGGAAGAAGCCGCCCCAATGTCGCGCTCCAATTCCCAGCCCTCCTCCTCGATGACAACTGATACGATTCCATCATAAAAAAAATATGCAAATGCTGCCGAACTATAATGAAGAGGCCGGATGGAGCTGTGAGTTTACGAGTGCGCCAAGCGACCTTCACTTCCGAACGATATTACGTGACTCGCTGTCTTGCAGTGCGTTATGAGATCACTTCCTACCTCCATAACCATCGATTGTGCCTTCAGGAAGTCAATTTTTCTCGTGTTCCTTAGACGCAGTATTATCGTTAAATATATTAGATGTAGCATTGATATTGAGCGTAAATATACAATTATATGTAATATATTTGATCGCGACAATCGGAATCGGAAGATTTGGAATGACAGATACTGGCTGAACGATTTACTAAGATTATAATATTCAGCCAAGTTAAAGCAAATAACATGTGAAAGCCAATACTTTACAGAAGCATTGAAGGCTCTCTCGAAAACAAAGCCTTAACTCTCAAGAACGAGGTGACCATCGCTGCGCAAGAGGCACTCGGCGAGAGGGGACGAGACAGCCGAGCCAGTGATTCGCGAGACACTAATGTCCAACGTTCTCAGAATAGAAAGTAATCGGCTCGGGGTGTAAAGGAAATTCGTGCATCCTGATCAGAGACCGTCGAGAGACGAACGTTGAACGCGAGCTCGCGCGCAGGCCGAAGGCAAGGGGTCATTTGGCTCGACCCCCGTAAGCCGTTACGCGCGTCAGCTTGTCTTCCTACTTTCGGGCATCGGGACAGCGCGCGAGCAGCTCTTACGCTAAACTCGAGTTCCTGCGAGAGCGGCTCGGTCGTCCCACAGAATATATCGCTACGAGCGAAGTTTATAATTGGCTTCTATTCGACTATTTTTTCGAATTGTCGCGGGAAGCAGAACGGCCCGGCTAATGAGCGCATCGTCCGGTTTGACGTATCGACTTTCAAAAGTGAAAAGTAAAAATGGACCCGCGACGCAATGGAAAAAGTGAACAAGTGTGGATTTCATTCCGTTAGCTCTCCTCTTTCGCAGCTCTCGCGGAACTTCCGTCCGATTGATCAAGCGAACAATTGAGACTTATTAATAATGATTCACTTTATCGACACTTCTCTGGTGAAAATTCAATTTAAAAGATTAAATTGAATTTTTTACCACAACGGTGATAAGACTCGACTAGAATGTTATCAAGCGTTTTCGAAACTTGACCTCGATTTCCGAAATAGAAGTGCCAGTCTCGGAAAGAGTACGTTCAACCTTGAGAATCACACGGCGTATAGTTTTGGAACATCCTGCTTCAAAGGGCCCTGGGAAAATACAATACCGCAACGGCGAGTGAATGTTCACGGTACAAATCACATGCTACTCCCACGTTGTTGCGTGGTTTTCATACCATACAGTCCACATTGCCTACTAACTGTTGTAATTTCGTTACCAACAATGTCGCGTGTGTAAATTACATTTCTAGTAAATGTTAACATTGGATGTTCGAGTTAAAGTGTCCGACGCAGGCGAATCTTTTCTTGGCCAACTCCCCCCCCCCCCTTATAATTACGATTAATTTTACTTTCATGAATATGAAAATGAATTCCACTATGCAGAGCTTGCTCTCACCCGTTCGGTTCTCTGTAAACCTTTTAGTTAAATTTCTTCCCTGGAGTGCTGGGCGGGGATAACTTAGGAAAACGAATTTTTTTTTCCACGCCGCCCGTATGTACGTGAGCGGAATAAACCGACATTTGGCTCCTGTTGTAATTCAAAAGTGCCCCGCGAGATAGAAAGAATGAGAAGCGGAAGAGGGAATCGAGCTGCGTTAGAGTTGTCGAAGCCTTACAAATGGAAAATCTGGTATTTGTTTCGCAGCGCGCGTTCAACAGCCTGTGTCAATTCGGTTGAATGTAGGGGCTTCGCAAAACCGTCGTTCGTACAGAGCGTCGCAGTACAATGGCTCGCGCTCGCGCGCGTTCATGAAAATTCATAAGGACTCTAAAATATGACGAAAACGTCGTGCGCCCAGCCGTGGCTTCCTCCCCGCACTGAAAATATATTTCGTGCGCAGAGAAAGATAGATAGAGAGAGAGAGAGAGAGAGAGAGAAGCGCGGCGAGAGAGGAGAAGTAATCGACTCACCTTTCTTTTTGAGATGGTCCTCGACCATGATGGCCGATATCATAAAGACGTTGCCGACGCTGCCAATGACAGCGAGCGAAGCTAGCAGGAGTAGCCTAACGACTCTCGACCAGTCGGAAGACAACGTGACCGGCGATATGTTGAGACTGCCGTCGGCCATTGTCACCCCGTCTTCCAGCGAGTCGACGCTGTTGAACACCCCGGCGAGTGTTGTGATGCCGAGGCCTACCGTCGAGGTCGACGCTGTTGCCATCGCTGCTGTCGCGTTGGCGTTCATCTTTGCATGCTGAAACGACACAAGTTTCTAGAGCCATTTTGAGAGCCACTGCGATACACCTTGGCTTGCGCTCAATGGCTCGTAAAATTCTTTGATCGTTCTTTAATACCCGTCATGCACAAATAATTATTATCCGATTCGTTATTCGTTACTAAAATTAAACAACCTGAAAGAATTCTTGTTTGAAGAATTATCTCGAATTACGAGAAATTTGACAAGTACTTTAGTCGATATAGACAATATTTCATTCGACTTTTCTTAAAGAAAAACGCCGACAATTAAAAATGCCAGGTTCGCAGTGTCGATCGCTCGCGCAAATTAACCACATTTTATAGAAATGATTATTCAGTGCATTTTTCAGATCGGAACAACGAGCTCATCCTACTGTGAAATGATCAAAGGGCCGTAGTAAGGATCACCGTCCGTGACGAAAATTACTTGCATAATACTAATGCGCTACCGAATCAGAAAATAATTGTCCGGTAGAAGCTGCTTTCGCAACGCCCTGGCGGCTCATCGTTATCATTTCGCGAATCCGCTGATTTTTCACGGCTCGACGAGGAGCTTCTTCTGAACGAGCAGCCGCGTGAAGTAAAATCCACGGAGTGGAAAGCAAAGCAGCGCCGAGTGCACTGGCTCGTCAGTTCCACGAGGCTTTCGAATATTAATCCTCCGCGCCAGTGATCAACGGCTCTCCGCGAACTTTTATATTTTCATTTCAATACTAACGTTCAAAGATAGAAATTAATTCCATTGCAAAACCGCCCGGTATCGAACGGTCGCGTCTGTGGTTTTTGGAAAAGAGAGTAAAAAGCAACGTTCGATAAATTTTTTCTCGTGTCTGTGGTTTTTCCCCTCTCTTTTTTATTAACTTGTGATGGATATTGAAGAGAAACTTTTTGTTCTTATCGGTGCTATTGAATTTAATGGTTACAGCTATATTGGAAAATTGATAAGAATTCCATTCGAATGACAGCTTCGTTCTAGCGAGTAACAACTTTATAATTAACAATCTGATCGCGCCATTTAGCGATACAATAAAAGCAGGCTCCATTCACAGTAGTAATTTATTTGCACTGAACCTACATGCCTTCGATGCGAACTAATCCCAAAAGCTTTGGGCTAAGTTGGCTGGCAGGGGATGCTGATCTGTGGTCTGTTGCCCCTAAAACTTAGATCAAACAGACACCTGGTAAATTTACCGACGTACCAGACTAATTAAATCAGGACCAGTGAAAAACAACCACATCATTTTTCATTTCGGAAAGCGAGAGACCACGGCATGATAAAATGAAATACTCGCCGAACGTGCGCGCACTTTATGTACATAAAGAATATTCAGGCGAATTTACGACCTTATACTCCGGCTGTAACGAGTACATCGCCATAAATGAAATATAGGTTACGGCAAAAGCACTAACGACGAGAGAAAAACACGCGCGCGCATATACTAAATCCGGTCGCAGCCTGGACATGTTTGTCGCGTTCTCTGTCGACACGTGCTCGGTTATGCAAAACGATAAAAGTATCCTATCGACCGATAAAAGTATCCTCGCCTTTGTTCATTATCAACGATGCAAGTCAGATGTGACAATCAATAGCCAACCAGATAGCTAATCAGATGCAGCTCACGAGAGCTTCATGATCCTCCCGGTCTCTCGAATTTTGCGATGCGCGACATTCGCAAAAAGGAAAAAAGGCAGAGCAAAAAAAAGGAATATCGAGAGCGACGCATGCTCTTGAATTTTAATTCGAGGGAGAGAGATCGGCTAAGAGGATGCATGGATTGTACTGGCACTTGTTGCATGCAGTTGTCGTTGCTATCGCTCCGTCACGCTGACGCAGCCGAAACGTGGCTGCATAGGCGCGCGCGCGCGCCCTCCGAAACCTTTCGAGGAAATACGCTTTTTCATACTGGATTGGCCTTCGAGAATCGTGCGCCGTCCAGAGCCTCGGCAAGAAGGACCGCGGCGAGTTGCGTCAGCGCGTCTCGCCTTACTCGGACGGGTCGACCTATCAGAAGATTCCAAGTCCGCGCCAAGCCGATCGAGCCTGTCTGTGCCGCTCAGCCGCAAGGCACAGACAGTCGAAGGCAGAGCAGCCGCGCGTCAATACATTGTTGAGCGCGAAGTTGCGCCGAGCCGAATATCCACGCAGGAGTAGCGTTACGAGCTATGCCTGCATCGAAGCTCCTGGTTGCCAAGCAAACTCGTCGGGTAGTTTGATGAGTTTAGCCCTTTGCTCGCGGGCGAACTGATTCTACGGGCGTGATGATGATGCAAATCCGTATTACCGGTTGGCAGATTCAACTGGCTGAATAATCGGCTGCTCGGAGAAACTTTCGCGGAATATACACGAGACAGAGAGAGGGAGAGGGGGGGGGCTAGAACGGGAAGGGGGAATTTATGAATTCGCAGCAGATAAGAAAGTAAAGCCTTTGTACCCTTGTATTTCCGATACTCTTATCTTAGTGCGGGGTGAAAGGGGGAAAACTTGAATGCCAGCCAAAGAGAGGCCAGAGTTCGTCTGCTCTCTCGCGTAATCATATGGAATTGTTTAGCCGCGCACGATGAGACTCGCATCCGTCGTTTTTGCACACTCGGCGAAGTTACACACACGGAGCTATGTCGTTGCACTTCTTGCGCGAACGGGGAGCGTTAATTCCGACCATTGTCTTTTCCACGTCGAGACGACTGGACTGTCGAGTGGGACATTCTTCTGTTTTCTATATGCGGCTTGTTGAATTTTGCTGAAAGTTCGTCTGGCTCTTTTCTCTGTGAAAGTGGCCTGTGCTTTCTAGAATAACCAATCGCGAAGCAAAGGGAATCAGCAAATTAGCACGTCAAATGTGACTCACAAACGGGAATGAGAAAATAGTTTTGAGGCAAACATAGTTGAGGCGTATCTAGGCAAGTTTGCGTTTAACTTAACTCTTGAGGGGCGAGGGGGAGGGCTAAATAACGTCACCGCATTGAATTAGTAATAAATATAAAGTAGAGAGGGAAAGAGCAGCATCACACGGAAGTTTCTCTCGGATCTTCCCTGTATAAAGACGTGCCAAAGACTTTAGTCAATTTCTCCCGTACTTGCTTCAACTATTCCCATTAAGGTCAGCCGAGTAGAAGTTTTCTGCCGGCACCGATACTTTCTGCGGGTTAATCTGACCCGAAAATTTTCATTTTAACAGTATCACGCGACGCCCCATTGTGCACCTACTCGCACTTTTTCCTTTTCGCATAATCATAAATACACTTTCGATCGGTCTTCGTGTCTTATTGGACTCGCGCGCGAGCACTTGATATTAATAACTGGTTTGCCGAATAACTTTACGTGTATTAAATCCATTCGAACTACCGATTTTTCATTCTGACGCGTGATTGTCACGCATATATTCGCGGATTTTTGTTATGAATGACCAAAGTTCCAATAAGCAGAAAATTGATGGAAACTTTTTTTCGCGTTTGCTTCGTACACGAGGAAGAAAAGAAACGCACGCGATGCGCGAGAAAGAAAGTCCATCATCGATTTCCATCGCAAAAATAACAGACTCCAACAATAGGAGAAGAAAAAAAGTATCGCGATTCGCATTCCCCGCGAACGAAGCATGAACGCGTAAAAAATTCATCCCCTAGAGCGCAACGCCGTCCTCTTTAAAAAGAGAAGGATCGAATGTTGCCGACAGCTCGCGCGCGGCCGCGAACGGGGTAACAGGATAGAAAATGAGCTCGGGACCGGCGCTTTTGTCGGTGCATCGGGCTCGTCACGCTCTATTAAGCTGGATGGGCGCGCTCGCGGAAATCAATCGGAGCCCCGCTCGTCGAGCTCGCGCCCTCGAGTCGTCGTTCGCGGGCCGTCGCCACCGGCGCGGCTTTGCGCCCTCCGCGAGCTAGCCGAGCGGTCGTTAAAAATTCACGGCACGGGGAAGCTCGCCAGTCCCGATCCGCTAATCAGCGCTCACGCTCGAGTGCGCCGCGCTAATTATATGCGCGACCCTCGCGAGCGCGCGATCATCGGGTCCTTCGCCGAAACGTCGCGCGACGATGCATGTATTATTTTTCCTCTTCCTTTTTATCCGTCGCACGTTGAACTGCGAAGTCGTCATGTCCAGCCCGCGCGCGTGAATCATGAACGAGTCGCTCGTGAATTATTAATGGTGCGGCTCGAAACAACGGACGCCAGGGCGAGATAAAAGTCCCCGCGTCACTTCCGCGTCGCGGAGCTTTCGATAATAAGCGCGTTGCTCGCGCCGGTCACTGAACATTCGAGCCCCGCGCCACTCCCACTTCGGGCGGCGAATCCGGTGCCGCGCTCGCGCGGTAGAGGTCGGCCGATTTTTGCCAGGCGTCAGAGGTGGTCGACCGCCTCGGCCGCAGCTAGTCGTCGTCGCCCGGCTGCGTCGCGCGCACTCGCGGGAGGGGAATGCAGCGCGTTCGTTGCGAATTCGTCCGAGCGGTCGAGCCGAGGGCGCGTCGCAGCCGGACTCGTACTACTTGGCTACGTCGCCGTGGGGAATCATCGGGATTTGACTCGTCGCGTTCCTCGTCCGCGGACTTGGCGATGGTGCGCCGCGATTCTCGTCTCGCGGGCGAATCACACGAGTAGAGCCGTTGTAATCTGCCTCCACGGACCCTCTATTTCAAAGCTAACATTGCTTAACGCCACACTTAACTTGCGCGCAGATTAACTGCATATTCAATTCTGCTTCTGTGAGAGCACACTCGCGCGATATTAATTTCACTAAATCCACCGCAAATGCCCACCGTTGTGCGGTATTCGAATACACTGCTCCGCGCGGAGACACTAATTCTGATCTACGGTGACGTTCAGTGGGTCTAAACTAACGATACTCTCGGACGCGAAATTGGCGCGTGAATCGCGTAAATTCCGTCAATTACGTGATTCGCGCGGCGCCACCTGCTCGCGTGCCAAGGCATCAAGTCGCAGTCTTGCAATAGGCGTTTGCGCGCGGGGCGTCGGATTTCGCGGTCGCGCACTGCAGCCGCGCGGCA